GAGGTCTGATATCAGTGAACAGAAAACAATGTCAGTTTTCCTGTTTGATACTGTGCCAGAGTTCTATTAGGCGTCACCATTGGGGGGAAGCTGGGTAAAGGGTATTATTTTTGTGACTCTCCCTGAGTCTAGTTATTTCAAAATAAAAAGTTTAAAAATTGATTCTTAGAAAAATGAAATAGAAAGCAGATTTTAAAAGGCCCAGTTTTTTTTTTAAATACATTTTTATTGATTTCAGAGAGGAAGGGAGAGGGAGAGAGAGAGAGAAACATCAATGATGAGAGAGAATCATTAATTGGCTGCCTCCTGCATGCCCCCTACTGAGCCCACAACCCAGGCACATGCCCTTGACCAGAATCGAACCCAGGACCCTTCAGTCTGCAGGCCAATGCTCTATCCACTGAGCAAAACGCAGGTCGGGCAAAAAGGCCCAGTTTTTCCATCACAGATTCAGCAGACATCAAACACCCATGTCAGCTTGCTGAGGGGTTTCTCGGTGCTCACTGTTAGTTCCCACGCCTGCTGTGCTGAGAGCAGTGACCAACATCTGGCAGGAGAGAGAGGCACCTGCTCAAAGACTAGAAGCCAACACAGGGGTGGAGTTCCCCCTCGCTGCCATCAGTGTTTGTGGCGGAGTCCTGCTGTTCCAGTGGAACGTGGTCTAAATGCATAGACAATATTCAGAATAAAATACATATTCCTCTGAGTCAGAAAACGTGCAGATCAGTAGATGTCAGCCACTGCCAGGCCCCCATGTGCCCGGTTTTGTCGTCTCTTGCTCCCTCTCCCCTCCCCTAACTGCCTGTCTTCCATTCCTCTCTTCCCTGTCGGCTCGCCTTCAACCGCCCTCGCTGCAGGGGCAGGTCAGGCTCCCGTCCCACCCCTTGCCACTGCTCCCCTCACCACAACGCTGGGGAAATCACTCTACCTCTTGCGTGTGTGGGGATTGCAAGGCCCACCTGGGGGCTGTCATGAGGAGTAGCCCCCGGGGCGAGGGAAGGTGTCCAGGCCGAGTGGGGCTCTCTGGCTGCACACCCGTGGTCCCCAAACACTCTCGCAGGCTCTGGTCTTAACTAGTCTTTGTTCCCAACTCACTTTCCCTGTCAGGCAAACCAGCTCCTCCTTCTCTGCCTCCCCCGTCCACAGCCATGCGCCCCCACACCAGCATCCTGCCTCCCACAGGTGTGTCCTCCCCTCCAGCTTCAGCCTCTGCTACAACCTGGGGCCCCGTAAGCTCTTCCCCCATCATAATGATAGCGAACACATTCCACTGGCTAACTCCTTGAGCACTTGGTATGTGCCAGGCACCATCCCACGCCCTATCCATGCACTAACTCATTTCATGCTTTCACTCCCCCTATGAGATAGATTCTGTTCTAAGCCCACTTTACAGGTGAGGAAACTGAGGCTAGCAAGCGGGGAAATAACTTGCCCAAGGCCACCCCGCTGGTAAGCCCCACGCTCTTATCCACAGCACTATATGCCGCGCGGCCTCCTGCTTCATGGCAGCAAGAATTGGGCTGTCGTACTCAGCAGCTCAGCACCCGGCTCTGTAACCCTTTGCTGAGTGAGTGAATGAGTGAATGAGTGAATGAACGAATGCTGCCCATTGTGCCCGGCTTACAAAGCTATTTTCCTCTGCTGCAGAGAAGCCAGGCAGAGGCATGAGGGTGACACCAGGGCGGCCTGCAGCGCCAGTGTCTGCTCTGCCCAGTGGCTTCTGAGCAACCTGTCCCTCCCCCCGCTGAGTCCAGCACCTCCCAGGCCAGGCCTTCAGCACCTTAACTCCCTGTGATGTCCATGTTCCCTTCTAAGTCTTCCTATTTCAACCTCAAGACCAAGCTTCGGGGACTCACCACGTTCTCTTGTCCACAGAGAAAGATCTCCATCTCACGGCTTCAGCGGCCGAATGCCCTGGGAAGCTGCCCAGCGAGCTGGCTGTAGGTCTAACCTGCTTTCTCTTAGTCTTCTCTCCTCCACTTTGATGTTCCCCAGTATCTTCTCCTCTTCCCCGCAGACCAACCCATTTTCCTGCACTCTTCTAATTCGCCCCCATGCTATGCTACACTCTGCCTCCTAAATCTTTCTTCTCCCCTTTTCAGCTACCCATGTATTTCCTTAATCATCCGAATCTGGCCCGCGGGCCATAGTTTGCCCACGGCTGGTTTAACCTGCTTTCTCTTAGTCTTCTCTCCTCCACTCTGATGTTCCCTAGTATCTTCTCCTCTTCCCTGCAGACCAACCCATTTTCCTGCACTCTTCTAATTCGCCCGCATGCTATGCTACACTCTGCCTCCTAAATCTTTCTTCTCCCCTTTTCAGCTACCCATGTATTTCCTTAATCATCTATACATATAAAAGCCTAAGCGACCGGCCAACCGTTGACCATTCGACTGGTAGCTATGACACACACTGACCACCAGGGGGCAGATGCTCAATGCACAGGCATGGAAACATGGAACAGACTGATGAATCTCAGAGGGAAGGGAGGAAAGGGGAGGGTGGAAAGAAATTAGCCAAAGATCTTATATGCATTCTAGAGGCCCGGTGCATGGATTCGTGCACTGGTGGGGTCTCTCAGCCTGGCCTGCGGGATCGGGCCGAAACCGGCAGTCCAGCATCCCCAAGGGGTCCCGGATTGCGAGAGAGTGCGGGCCAGGCCAAGGGACCCCACCGGTGCATGAATCCGTGCACCGGGCCTCTGGTTTTAAATATAGTTATTTGAAAATCTTCTAGATTGTTCTATTATCTCAAGTTTTGGAGACAGAAATCCTCCTGTTTGTGTTGTATGCCATTGCTCATGGTAGCTCAGTTCCTCATGTGTTTTTATAATTTCTGACTGTGAGCTAAAGCTGGGGGTTTTTCCCCTAAAGCTGGGGATTATTTCCCCTCATGGATGGCCCAAGCTGGGTTGTGAAAGCTCCCTCCAGATATGATTTTGCCTTTGTTTCTGCGCCCTACTCTGGACCAATTTAAGAATCCCCAAGTTATTATTAGTGTTGTTATTGTAAAATATACATAACGTAACATTTAATATTTTAACCATCTTCTGTGAACAGTTCAGTGGCATTAAATCCATTCACATTGTTGTGCAATCATCACCACCATCCATATCTAGAACCTTTTTGTTGTTGTTAATCCTCCCCTGAGGATATTTTTTCCATTGATTTTTAGAGAGAGTGAAAGAAAGGGGGAGAGAAACAGAGAGAGAGAGATAGGGAGAGGGATAGAGATAGAAACATCAATGAGAGAGAAACATCACCCATCGGCTGCCTCTTACACGCCCCCTACTGTGGATAAAGCTGCAACCCAGGCATGTGTCCTGACCAGGAATTGAACCAGTGACCTCTTGGTTCATGGGTTGACGCTCAACTGCTGAGCCACACCAGTCGGTCGTGTCTTTGTAGTTTTTAATGTGTAAGTCTTTTGCCTCCGTAGTTAAGTTTATGCCTAAGTATTTTATTCTTTTTATTGCTATTATAAATGGAATCATTTTCTTTTTTTAAAATAATATATTTCTTCAAACTTCCAATTGCTTTTTAAATTGATTTTTAGAGAGAGGGAGAATAAGAGAGAGAAACATTGATTTGTTGTTTCACTTACTTATGTGTTCTTTAGTTGTGCCCTGACCCGGGGATCAAACCCACAAACTTGGTGTATCAGGACGACGTTCTAACCAACTGAGCTATCCGGCCAGGTTTGGAACTATTTTCTTAATTTTCTTTTTGGATTGTTCGTTGTTGTGTATAGAAACACAACTTTTGTGGGTTGGTTTTGTATTGTGAGACTTTGCTGAATTTTTTAATTAGTTCTAATCGTCTTTTTGTGATTGAATCATATTATTTTGTTTTTGCTTTTGTTTTTACTCAGAGATCTGAGCAGTGACAGGTTTTATTGCATCTTCCAAAGCCAGTAAACAGACTTCTTCCTGGTCCCCATTCACTGAGCGTGCAGGCTTCGCGGATCCCAGCCGAGCTCCACAGCACTGGTTCCAGCTGCCTGCCTCATGAAGGCCAAGACCTCAGCCCCGCCCTGCATGGTCGCCCCGTCCAAGCGCTTGCCCACGGGGCCTCCTTCCCTCCAATACCCTCCCCTCGGAGCCCCTGCTCATCAGCTCATCACCCCACTGCGTTTCCGCTCTCTGGATTTGAAAAATGAACATATTCTATTTTCTACATATTCCGAGCAGGAGTGACCCCAGCACCCCACTTCCAAAGGCGCACCTCAAGCACCGGCGTTCCCAGAGAGCACATGGGAGCCGGCATTCTATCCATAGAAAAGCCCTGCGACAGGACCCAGCTAGAGAGGGACGCAGCCAGTCCCTCCGCCAGTAAGCAAGCGTCTGCCTCCCCCTGGGCTGGGAGCCGGCCAGGCTCCTGCCTGTGGGTGGTGGTTGTCTACTGTTACGGAGGGCCTACTACGTGCCAGGTACCGCACTGGGTGCTTTACGCGTATTCGATCTCATTTAACCTGCTGCCAGCCCTGTGAGGCCGGTATGATTACTGTCACTGATTCAGTTCAGGAAGTTGCCAAAAACACAGCTAGCAAAGCTGCAGAACCAAGATTCAGACTTAGTTTGGCTCAACCTTTACCAAACACACCTCGTCTTCCTCCATCCTTCCAACGCCACCTGTACCTTCCTCTTCTCGTCCAGTCCTCTGGGTGTGGGTCTGTGCGGGGTGCCTTCCTCCGCTCTGTCCTCAGCACCCGTGGGTGTGACCTCTGCAGAGGGTGCTGTGCTGGGGCCCGGAGGACCTGTCCACCAGGAGGGATGGGCTGTGGCACTCCCGGGGTGCTTGGCCGGAGCCCCGTTACTGAGAAGAAAGGCGTTTGCCCAGGACTCCGAGGGGAGTTCCATCCTGGGAGTGAACCCAGCCCTGGTCGGGACCCAAGCACCCAGCCCTCCCCGAGACATTGTGTGAGCCGGCTGGGCCTCCAGACAGCCCCTCCCGCCGCCCCAGCCAGGGTGGTGCTTGTGTGGGAGGGACTTTAAATCCAGCTGCCAGACCCCTGGACAGCAGAGGCAGAGAGGGCTGGCCACCATGCACAGCTCCCGCAGTCTCCTGGCGCTGCTGCTGCCGCCGCTGCTCTTGCTGGGGGCCACCCCGGGGCCCGCCGGAGCCCTCAGTGATGAGGAGAGACGCACCATGGTGGACCTGCACAACCTCTACCGGGCCCAGGCGTCCCCACCCGCCGCCAACATGCTGCAAATGGTGAGTGTGGTCAGAGGCGCCCACCTGCCAGACTGAAGGGGTGCTGGGCCGGGCCCCCCACCAATCCCTCCTATCCCGTCTCCAAAGCTGCCTCAGAGGCTCACCTCTCCTGCCAGTGACAGAGTCTCTGAGATTATATGACTCACAGGCCCCATGGCAGCCCCATTATAGCGACGAGGAAGCCGGCTTAGGGGACAGGGTGGGCCCTCAGGGGCTTGCAGGTCACTAGCCGACAGAGCCGGGCCCGGGCGCCCCAGCTCCCCTCCAGTGGCCCTTTCCCAGCACTTCCTAAGATGCATGTGTCGCTGGGGTGGGGGGGGGACACCTTGGTGACAACAATCTTTCAAGGAGGGGAGGAGAGGAAGCAGGGCGGCAGGAGCCGGGCACTGAGGTGGGCTAGCACAGGAAGTAGGCGGGGAGGACTCTGTCGGCCACTTGCACGACCCAGGACTTGGGGTGAGTCCCTTAACCTAGGAAGGACCCTCAGTTCCTCTTCTGTGAAGCGAGGTTATAACTGGAGTCACACGTGTATCAATATGGCCTGAGTCTCGTAGATGGAATTTTGAGTTGGGGTAAAAATGAAACCTCAGCCCTAGCCAGTGTTGCTCAGTGGTTAGAGTGTTGGCCCATAGACCGAAGGGTCTCGGGTTCAATTCCGGTCCAGGGCACATCCCTGAGTGGCAGGCTTGATCCCCAGCCCCAGTCGGGACGTGTGCAGGAGGCAACCAGTCGATATGTCTCTCTCTCATCGATGTTTCTCTCTCTCTCTCTCTGTCTCTCCCTCTCCCTTCCACTCTCTTTAAAAATCAATGGAAAAATGTCCTCCGGTGAGGATTAACAAAAGAAAGAAATCTCAGACACATATATATTAGGATATAGTTACACGAAGTTTGAAAATGTAAAAAATACTGTTATATATACAGGTGGCAACACGTGCTGCTGGAGTAAACATCCATGGACAGCCTGCAGAAGACAGAGCCATTCACCGGGTGGTTACCCCGTCACAAAGGGAGGGTTACTGAGGGCAGTCAGGGCAGGATGTTCACCGTCAGGATTAGGAGAGATGAAGTGAGAAACTCACTCCTTCCTGCTCTCCCTGAGGACTGGACTGGCCACCCCTCCAGCCACCCTCAGGCGACCTGGCGGGTTGATGGGCAGTGTCCAAGGAGCCATAACTGGCCCCCGAGAGCAAGGTCACTCTGGGGACCACAGCAGCAAGCCTGGGGGTCCGAGACCGGCGTTTTAACAGTCGAGTCCAGTCTGGCGAAGTGACTGGCGGCCCCTTTACCGTCAAAGGCCTGTTTCCTGATCTATCACGAGGGGCTGGCAACCCTGCCCAGGGGGCCAGACAGGAGGACACAGGAGAAAGATCTTGGAGGGGCTCTACAGACACACACAGCACCTCCATTCAGGCCCTGTCGGCCGGGGCCACCAGGGGCTGCAGACACAAACCAGGAGCCTGGTACCAGCTCTGCCAACAACTCTGCCTGAGCCCCTGAGTTCATCGTTGGGTCCCAGGTTCCCGTCTGCAGAACCTTAATGCCCCCAGCCTTGCTGGCTGAGGCTGGGGCTACGCAGGCTGGGAGCTGCTTTGCCTGCAGAGATGGGCCTCAGTGGGGCAACATTCCTGGAAGCAGCTGGGCATTGAGGGGCACAGGGCTCAGGTGCAACTCTGCAGTGGTAAATGCAGAGACTCTGGAGCCAGGAGGCCTGGGTTCAAATCTTTTTTTTTTTTGTAATATATTTTTATTGATTTCAGAGAAGGAGAGAGAGAGAGAGAGAGAGAGAGAGAGAGAGAGAGAGAGGGAGAGAAACATCAGTGATGAGAGAGAATCATTGATTGGCTGGCTCCAGCACGCCCCACAATGAAAGATGGAGCCCGCAACCTGGGCATGAGCCCCGACCAGGAATTGAATGAGGGCCTCCTGGTTCATAGGTCGATGCTCAGCCACTGAGCCACGCCAGCCAGGCTCAAATTTTCACTTTGCCATTTATTAGCTGTGTGGCCTGAACCAAGTTACTTAGCCTCTCTGTGCCTCAAACCTCCTCATCTGTGAATTGGGGATGATAACAGAACAGTCCCCTTGTAGAGTGGTTGTAAGGATTAAATGAGTAAACATGTGGAAGGCACTTAGAACAGTGCCGGACAATTAGTAAGTTCTCAGTAAGTGTTTGATGGACAAAAGGGAATGCTCGGGGGTGAGGCAGGTGGGTTACTGTGGACTCTTCTCTCTCCCTCAGCCTCCACATCTAACCATCGTTACCACCAGAAGGTTCCGTTCTCCTACCTCCTCCCCGATCTCTTTGGCACAACCTGACTCAGTTTTCCAGTTCTCCCAGGACTAAGCCTCTCCCTGCTTCCCAGGCTCGGGCTGCACTGGCAGAATGAACGGCCCAGCACACAGGCCTGACCCCCCTGGAAGCCCTGCACTGGCTCCAGAGCCCAGGACAAGGATCCATCCCCGAGAAGGCCCTCTGTGTGCCTGGCCCCCGTCTACCTCCAGCCTCCGCTCCTGCCCACGTTCTCCTCCAGTAACCGAACTGCTTGTCTTTCCCAGTCAGAGCACCACTCCTCCTTCCTCTCAGGTGGCTCTTCCCTCTCCACAGGCCAAGCCTCACCTGCGAACTCTTGGCTACTGTCTCCTTCCCCGCCTTCAGGTCGGGCTAAATGGCCCTCTTTGGTGCCTCCGTACTACCCCTTGCATATCTGTCATTCACCACACGGTGGGCCAATTAATGGCTTATGACGATGTGAATTTGGGCTTCTTGGTCCTTGTTGTTGCCTCAGGCTGGCATGGTGCCCAGGACTGTTGAATGAGAGAGTGAGTGAGTGAGTGAGTGAGTAGATGAATGGACTTGTTTTCACATGATGACCATGTGGCCAGTGGGGGCGGGTGCTGTGACTCCTAAAGCTCCCCAGAGGTCTCTGGACCGCTGAGAAGCCTTAAGTCCCAGAGCAGTGACGCTAATGGTGGGACTCCAGGCATCTAGTCAGAACGGAAACGAGTGGCTCTGCAGCAGAGATTGCTTTAAGCAGGGTCCTGTCTCGGTTGTCAAAGGTTGACAGACCCCTGCTGTGCCAGCCCTGTGCCCGGCAGTGGGGATGCGTCCTTTTCCCACCTGAAGGAGCTACAGTCCAGTCTGCGGTCCAGCAGGCCATCCCCGGGCCCTGGTCCTTGTCCCCAGCACCCTGCCCCTTCACCACTCCCCACCTCCCACTACTGCCAGAGTTTGGGAGGACCGCAGGGACCAGTGATTTGAGACAAAAAGTCCCGGAGAGGGAAAGGGATTCACCCAAAGTCACGCAGCCGGGCTGTCCCAGCCCAGTGCTCCCATCCATGCCCCCGGCAGCGGCTACGGAGAACCGTGTGAGCGTGGGGAGTGGGTGTGGACACACAGCCCCCTCTCCTTAGAGCCGCCCCAGCTCTTGTGCTTTACGGCTGCCTGGCTCCCACAGCTGGATGGGCCCCCGGAGGGTGGAGCAGGAGTTTCGGCCAGGCAATGGTTTCCAGGAGAAGCCAGAACGAAGTTTAATGGGATCCAGGCCTCCCTCCTCAACCCTTTGGTCAGATGCCTTGTTAGTCCCTCTTCCCACCCACTCGGAGCTGTGGGCCCAGCAGGGGACACAGGACCTCAGAGGCCCCCTCACCTAAGTGCTGTCCGCCTGCTGTCACACCGCGGTCCCCAGTGGAGAACTCTGCCTTTGGGAGGGGACATGCTTTGGGCCACTAGGGCCACGGTGAGCGTCACTCCACACTGGACATGTGTGGTCCTCGGAGCAGCTCAGGCAGCCCTGGGAGGTAGGCAGGGGCCTCGCTGCCAAGTTTCACTTGGGATATTAATATTAATCCATAAGAACACTGTCCCAAACCTGACCTCATTTCCTGTTCCCAACACCCTATGGGAATTCAGAAAGACTAGGCAATCGGTCCGAAGTCCCACAGCTGGTGAATGGCCCCAAGTGTAGCCAACCCCACCACCAGTGGTGGCACTCACCCCCCACAGAAGCCACCAGGAGCGAGACCTGGGCCAGATCCCAGCCAAGACTCACCCTGCAAGGAGGGGAGGGTCTCCGGTCTCCAGGGGCCCCGGGGAACCCCCACCTTCTCCTCCTCTTGGCATCTGGGCATCCTCCCCTCGCCCTCCGGGCCCCCTTCGCCCTCACTGAGCCCAGGTGTCCTCGCCTTCCTCCCCGCAGCGGTGGGACGCGGAGCTGGCCGCCTTCGCCAAGGCCTACGCTCAGCAGTGCGTGTGGGGCCACAACAAGGAGCGCGGGCGGCGCGGCGAGAACCTGTTCGCCATCACGGACGAGGGCATGGACGTGCCGCTGGCGGTGGAGCAGTGGCACGTGGAGCGCGAGCACTACAACTTCAGCGCTGCCACCTGCGAGCCGGGCCAGATGTGCGGCCACTACACGCAGGTGCGAGGCCGAAGGGCGGCGGGAGGGCGGGCCGGGCGATGGGCGATGGGCGATGGGCGGGGCCTCGTGGGCAGTGGGCGGGGCCTCGTGGGCAGTGGGCGGGGCGGGACCACCTGTCCCATCACCCCGCACCCCCCCTCCCGCAAGTGCCTGAGTCCACACTCTACGCCCCCTTAGACCCTTCATAAAAGTTGTCCTTCCCCAGTTATTAATGACTGTCTAGACCTGACAAAGTCTGCTTCTCAAACCCACTAAGCCATGTTCAGTTCATAAAAAGCACAATCTGAAAACGAGGCCGCCCCTCGGCCTCCCGGTGCCGAACAGACCGAGGCTGGGTGTCTCCGAGCCATTTCTGCCGGTAGTTGTGGCACAGGCGCCCGACCAAGCTCGAAGCAGCCAGTCCTCGGGCTGAGGGCACCGCTTTGCCCCGGCAGCACGGACCCCCACTTCTGCCTTCTCGCTCACGGTCCCTCTGTTGTCATGTCTCATGGTGTGTAAGTCGCTGCTTCTAACCTGCCAAAGACCAATAAAGCGAATAGATAATTTTGTTGTTTAAATTTTCGTTTGCTTTTAAAAACTACCGAAGGAAGAGCAAATCGTCGCGGAGGGAAGGTTTGGGGGCCTCTGAGAGCTTATCCCCGCCTCTCGCAGTCACCTTTGCTTGTGGGTTCTCACTGCATTTTGAAAGTTTGAGTTTGCAGATAAGAGGTGTCAGGGTGTGTGTTGTGGGGATAACATCAGGTTCCTGAATTCTCTTTTTCCTCCTCCCAATGCTTATTTGTTGTTCAACAATAACACAAAGACAAGTTTTTTTTAAAAGACAAAAATAAACCAACCATCTTCCCACCCATATCCACCAATTCCATTTTCCAGTGCCTCGTTTGAGGGGTATTTTTAGTGCTAATCTTTAGGGCAGGAAATCCCAACATTACCCGCCTAGATCAGGAAGTTATGAGGGTGCAGCAGCCCTCCCTCTGTACCCTGCCACCTCCCCCCCCCCCATCCTCCACAGGGATTGCTGTCAGTGCCCAGCACGAGTGGGTCTGCCCCGCCTCACCCCAGCGTTCTCCAGGGCTGAGTGCACGTGCACGTGCTCATTTCTGCCTGGGAGATGCTCAGCAGTGGTACCTGGGGGCCCTTCAGCTGATTTAAGCAAAGACCCCCGTCCTGGGAGGGTGTGCAGAATCCACAGGCAGAGCCAGAACTCACAGCAAAAACCGGCCAGTTTGCGAGGCTCCTGGGCAGACGAGGCTTAGACACAGCGAGGGGAGCTGCCGGGCTCCGCCCATGGTGGTGCACGAAGACTGTTTGACTTCTTAAATTTTATACTCGAGGCAGAACTCCCAGCACCAGGAGACCCGTACTCAGAGATGGCAGGTCCCTGCTTGTGGTCTGGGGAAAGTCCCACTTCCCAGATGGCTTCTCCTGTTTCTTTCCTTGGAGTTTGCTTGTTGCTGAGTTTAAGATTGTCCCATTTGAAATGAATTCCCTTGGATAGACCCCTCGTTAAAAAGCAAGAGCCCCTGGGAACAGCCCACAGGAAGCACTCACGAGGGTATATCCAAAGGGGTGGTTTTCAGAGGGAGAGAGGCCTGGGGAAACAGTGGCTGGCAGGGGAGAGTCGTCTGTTCAGGACAAGCCCACCGCCCCACCCTACCCTGGCCCCCTGCTCAGAGTTTTGTCCTTAAGCTGCATGTCATCAGGGGCTTGGATCTTACCGGCTGCAGGGTTGCTCCTCTCCCCACCTGCAGAGGCTGGTCAGAGAGGCACCAGCCAGGGGCCGCCCCATCCACGCTAAACTGTTGGTTCTGCCCTCCCTCCTTCAGGTGGTCTGGGCCAAGACAGACAGGATTGGCTGTGGCTCCCACTTCTGTGAGAAGCTCCAGGGCGTTGAGGAGACCAATGTCCATTTACTGGTTTGCAACTATGAGCCCCCGTGAGTCCGAGGGAGCCGTTCGGGTGGGCAGGGCCAAGTGGAAGGCTGGGTTGGACGCAGTCTAAGGAGGTGGGTGGGGGTAATCTGGAGCCCAGGTCGTATCTGCCCCTGGGGGAGCTGTGAGGGCACCTGTAAGTCTGCTCTCACTGATCCAGCCAATTGGTTGGGGCACTTCCGGTCTAGGTGTGTGTATAAGGGCTAGGGTCAGGGGTTGCGAGGGACCCCCAACCCCCAGCATCCTCCCCGCCTCCTGCAGGGGGAACGTGAGGGGGAGGAGGCCCTTCGAGGAGGGGACTCCGTGTTCCCAATGTCCCTCCGGGTACCGCTGCGAGAATTCCCTCTGTGGTGAGTCTGGGATGGGGTGGGGAGGGAGAGGAGGGAGAGGGAAGGTGGAGCCCCTGAGCAGTGCCGGGACTGGGGAGGGGCCCAGCAGGACGCGACCTCCAGGGGCCCTCGGCAGGCCCACCCCATCCGGGTTGCCAAGCCCGTTTTGCCCTCCTTGCGCAGCCACTTTGACGCCCTCTCATTCCAAGTGAATGGATTTCAACCCTCACAGCAGAGGGTAACGCCCAATAAGGAAGGGGAGGAGGGCAGATGGGAAAAGCCAGGTGGGCGGGCTGATTGGTGGGCGTGTTAGGAGCTGGGATCCAGCTGAAAACTGGAAATGCCAGTGCAGAGAGAGGAAGACTTGGTGGAAGAGCAACCGTGTCAATCACAAGAAGTAGAATTTATTATCAAAGGGATACGGGTCCTGCTTGAAGCAGTAATGCCCGGCCTTGTCTCTCTTAGCAGAACCCATGAGCTGCCCAGAGGAGGACCAGGAGGTGCCTCACCTGGAAGATGGAGAGGCCCCACCTTCCCTGGCAACTGAAGCCTCAGGCTCGAGGAAAGGGGGGATCTCCTCTTCCCTAGCAACAGAAACTCCATCCTTCTTGGTAACAGAGGTCACAGGCTCCCTGGCAACCAAGGCTCTACCTACTGTAGAGACCAAGGCCCTACCTACTGTAGAGACCAAGGCCCCATCTTCCTTAGCAACGGAAGGCCCATCCTCCATGACAACTGAGGCTGCACCGTCCTCCACAACTGAGTTCCCTTCATTTTTGGAAACTCACAGCCCGCTCTCCTTGGATGAGGGAACAGCTACCTCCCCCAAAGCGACCCATGATCCCATCTCAAAAGGGGTGGACCCAGAGGCCAGCAAGACAAGCACGCCCTCCAAGAGCCCAGAGAATTCTCTGCACCTCCAGGTGTCCCCGACAGGGACACAAGGGCTGCCACCCCACTCCCAGGAGGAGGGCAAGGCTGAGGCCAAGTTGCCTTCGCCCAGTGAGGTCTTGGCCTCAGTTTTTCCAGCCCAGGAGGAGCCAGATGAGCGGCAGGCCACGCGGGAACACGGGGGGCACATCTCCAAGTCCCTGCCCAACTTTCCCAATACATCTGCCACCGCTAATGCCCCGGGAGGGCGAACCCTGGCCCTGCGGTCGTCCTTGCCAGGTAAGGCCTGTAGGGTCCATCCTACCTTCCTTCCGGAGCCCGGATTGTCACCAGGAGGGACATGTCCCCTCTGAGTAGGAGCTGCCTCCTGGCTGTTGGTCTCCACCTGCATACATGGTGGGAGGGCGGGAGGTCAGGCAGAGCGGTCTCCAGGCCGAGGCAAACCTTTTCCCTTCCTCTAGGTGCAGAGGACCCTGAAGGGCCTGAAGTCCATTCAGGGCTGAACTCGGGCCCTGGTCACATCTGGGGCCCTCTTCTGGCTCTGCTGCTACTGCCTCCCCTGGTGTTGGCTGGAATCTTCTGAGAGGTCACTACTCAAAGGCGAGGCCTGGTGAGGGGACCTGGCCTCATGCCCACTCTGGATCCTCCTTCTCCAAGTGAGAGGCCACATCTTCCCAGGCAGGTCCTGCTCTGTGGCCCAGCAGCCACCTCCAACCCAGCTTCTGGCACTGTCCCAGGAGTGCCCCTGCCCCGGGGTGGCCCGCCCCTCAGCTATGCAGACTGAGCAGTGTTCCCGTGGCCGGGGCCATGAACTTCTAGGGACAGAAGATCTCGGGGCTCTCCAGGAACCCCTTGGCCCCTCCCAGACCCCTGGCCTCTTCCTGGAGACGTCTGAGTCCCAGGCTATTCCCAGGTGTGCCTCCTGCCTTCCCAGGCTGAGGAGGTCAGCTGCCCTTCTGCCATCTACCCCACCCTGTCCCCAGCCCCCCAAATAGAATGCTTCTTGGCTGAAGGCCCTCTGGAAGGGAAGGCTGCAGGGCATGTGCCTCACCCCGACATCTTGCCTGGCTGCCAGTGAGCTCAGGTTGCCGCCCGATGACTGCATATCTGACCTGGACCCCTCCGGTGTCAGTCCAGGGGTGAGGGGGGATTCTGGGGAGATCCCCGCCTGCCTGGTCTGGGTTGACTGTCTCTGCCAGGAAGGCATTCTCCCAGAGAGCCTTCCTCTCCCTACTTGCTGTGTAGCTGGCGGGGGTGGGGTGGGTGTGAGGGGCAGATGGACGAGCCCCACCTGGTGGGGTGTTATGGGTGGGGCAGGCAGAGACCAGGAGAGGGAAGCAGCCCCTGACTCCTAATAAAAGCCTGTGTAAGAGTACCCGGTCTCCATGCTTGCGAGGGCAGGTGGCCCTGAAGAGGCTCCACACCTCCCCTACCAACCTGTGGCACCTGTTCTTTCACACCCCTCTACCCCCAAATACTCCGTTTCGTCCTTTGGGGCACCCTGCCTTTGTTTCATATCGGCACCTCCTCAAGTCTTCAGGTTGCTGACAGGAGGGTAAGGGGCCAAGGGCACTGGGCTGACTCTCCAGCTCCAGGACTCACCAGTGGGGCCAAGTGGGGCTCTGTGCCCGGGGTCAAGGAGTGGCATATAACCTCTTCTCGGGGGCTGCTACCAGCCCCTCTGGGACACAAGGTCAGAAAGGGAGCTCATGCCAAGCCCTGGCAGTTGGAGGAGTCCTGAGAGAGGCCGAGTCCCAGACACTGCCCAGGGAGACTGTGCAGAAGTGCAGTGGGGCAGGAAAGCAATACTAGGCGGGCAAGTGTGTGCAGGGCCAGCAACAGTAGGCGGCTGAGGGCGACTGGATGCCAAGCTGGTGTCGGTGAGGGGCAGAGCGACTGTCTCCAGGCCAAAGCCCGTGTCCGCAGTTAAACAGGAAGCATGCAAGTCAGGCCACAAATGCCTGCCTTTCATATATGTATAAAAATATGCTAGAGTGTATCCCTATTAACATATAACTCACATGACATAAAATTCACTCATTTCAATTGTATCACTCAGTGGTTTTAAGTGCATTCACAGGGTTGTGCAGCCATCACCAAGGTCAACTTTAGAATATATTTATCACCCTACAAGAAACCCCACACCCGTTGGCAATCACGTCCCCTTTCCCTCCAAGCCCCCTCCCCCCAGTCCTAATGCACCACTAATCTATTGTCTCTATGGACTTGCCTATTCTGGACATTTTGTATAAATAGAATCATATACTACGTGGCCTTTCGATCTGGCCTTTTCACGTAGCATAATGTTTTCAAGATTCCTCCATGTGTAGAATAGAGCAGTACAGTACGTCATCCTTTTTATTACCAAGTAATATTCCATTGTATGAAATGCATCTTAGTTACCCACCCATCAGGTGGTGGACACTTCAGTTGTTTCCAATTGGGGACTATTATAATCATACTGCTATAAACATTCCTGTACATTTTTCATTTCTCTTGGATATATACCTAAAAGTGGTATCATATGTTAACTCTGGATCATATGGTAACTCTTATGCTTAACTCCCCCCCGCCCCCCGCAAAGTTTTATTGAGAAACTAGAGGCCCGGTGCAGGAATTCGTGCACGGGTGGTGGGGTCCCTCTGGGTGGCCAGTAGGGATCAGGCTGAAACCTGCAGTCTAACGCCGCCTGCAGCTCCTACCTGCCGCTCCCACTCATCCTGGCCCCACTGTGCCTGCCGCGGGCTCGTGCCCAATCAGTCCTGTTCGGATGAGGCTCACGCTGCCGCAGCAGCGCTCACCAGCCATGAGCCCTGCGTCTGGCGCCCTCCCAAGGGGAGTGGCCTGCGGGATGGGGTGAAACAGGCTCTCCGACATCCCACAAGGGTCCCGGAATTGTGAGAGGGCACAGGCCAGGCTGAAGGGTCCCACTGGTGCACGATCAGGCCAGGGAGATCAGACCAGGGAGGGCTCCAGGGTGTGTCCAGCCCATCTCACTCAGTCCTGATTGGCCGGACCCCAGCAGCAAGCTAGCTTACTGGTTGGAGCATCTGCCCCCTGGTGGTCAGTGCATGTCATAGCGACTGGTCGACCAGTTGACTGTCTGCCCCCTGGTGGTCAGTGCACATCATACCGAGTGGTTGAGCAACCTTACCATATCATTAGCATATTATGCTTTGATCTGTTATTCTGCAATTTGGTCTATTTGCATATTACCCTTCTATTATATAGGATAACTGACATACATCTCTGTATAAATTTAAACCTTGGCGGTCCAATTTTATTTTTGGAATTCAAACAGTCTGGACCAAATTAATTGACGGGATTGAATGTTGAACAGGTTTGCGGTGTCGACCTCAGCCTCGACGTTGGACCAAAAAGGGTTAAAGCATACTGCATGATGGTTTGATTTACATATATTGTGAAGTAATCACCACAATAGGTTTAGCTAACATCCCTCTTCTCATAATAGGAAAGAAAAAAATTTTCTTCTTGTGAGAATTCTTACAGTTCACTCTCTTAATAATTTTCCTATATGCCTACCTACAGCAGTGTTAGCTACAGTCATCATCTTGTACATTACATCTCTGGTACTTACCTTAAAACTGGAAGTTTGTACCTTTGGACCACCTTCCTCCAATTTCCCCTCCCCCAACCCTTTGCCTGGTCACTACAAGCCTCATCTTTTCCTGTTTGGGTTTTCTAAAGATTCCACATATAAGTAAGATCATACAGTATTTGTCTTTCCCTGACTCATTTCACTCAGCCTTTAAGGTCCATCTATGTTGCCAATGGTAGGATTTCCTCATGTTTATGGCTGAATAATATTCCATTGTATAAATATACCACATCTCCCTTATCCTTCATCCAGGGGTGTACACTCAGGTTGTTTCCATGTGTTGGCTATCTCTATATATAAAAGCCTAGGCGACCATTTGACCGTTCGCTATGACATGCACTGATCACCAGGGGGCAGATGCTCAACACAAAGGCATGGAAACATGGAACAGACTGATGGAATCTCAGAGAGAAGTGGGGAGGGCAGGAAGAGATTAACCAAATATCTTATATGCATACTAGAAACCCCATGCATGGATTCATGCATCAGTGGTATGAAATGGGAATCCAACTTTATTCTTATGTATGTACATGTCCAGTTATTCCAGCATCTTTTGTTGAAGATTATTCTCCCCCATCTAATTATCATTACTCTATCAAAAATCAGTTGGTCATAAAATTGAATGTTTATTTCTGAATTCTTAATCCTCTTCCATTGGTCTATATGTCTATCTTTATGCCAGTACCACACCACATTGACTACTGTAGCTTTGTAGTAAGTTTTGAAATCAGGGAGAGGAAGTCCTCCAACTTTGTTTTTTTCCAAGATTGTTTAGTCTATTCTAAGCCCCTTTAATTTTAGGACCAGCTTCTCAAATTTCTGCAAAGAAGTCAGTTGAGATATTAACAGGATGTGTGTAACCTGCCATCTTAACTATGATAAGTCTTCCAATCCATGAGCATGGGATGTCTTTCCATTCATTTAGTTCTTCTTTAATTTCTTTCAACAATGTTTTATAGTTTTCAAAGTGTAAGTTTTTCAATTCTTTTGTTAAATTTGTTCATAAGTACTTTGTTACTTTTGATGCTATTGTAAGTAAAATTCTTCATTTCTACTTTGTCCAATTGCAGGTGTATAGAAATACAATTGATCTTGAATCCTATACCTTTCATGAATTCACTTATTATACAAGCAACTTTAGTGGATTCCTTAGTATTTAAAAAAATATATATGTTTTTATTGATTTCAGAGAGAGGAAGGAGAGGGAGAGAGAAACATTGATGAGAAACATTGATTGGCTGCATTCGCTGCACGCCCCTTACTGGGCATCAAGCCCGCAACCAGGG